ACTGGTTTTACTTTTTAACGGACTTCAAAAAAGGAGGTGGTTTCCATAGAGTAACTTTGTATACTTTGTGGTTTCCCAATTCGACCGTATATATATATTTTTAATGTCATGTTATTGTTCGGGCTACTGTCAACTTTTTGACGATTTAATTTTTTCCTATGGGCAAACAGATAGAACAATTTAATGGTTTAGTGCTTAAAACGTCGGGAATTCAGATTATCATAACATATAAATTCTGATATCTAATTTGACAACTTGAGAAACTGTAAACGCGTAGTGTCTGGTAAAATTAAGGATGAGGTCGCTTGTTTGTACTCCAGCAGTGCCCCAACAAGTTTTCTCTTTCGCGAACTGCTAACGTGCATAAATAAAAATCTCATTAGTGCATCCGCTGCACAGCGACATGCTTAAGATATGTTTAGAATTAGATGAGTCCGTGGCACAGTTGCCAGGGCGTCCAAGTCCGGGGTCGTGGGTTCGATTCCCACACGGGAAAACTATTTGTGTGACCCACAGAGAGTTGTTTCGCATCTGGGTGTATGTCCACGTGAATTTTATGTTTTTAAAACGTCCTTACAACACAGGATAATGTTATCCTAAAGTTAGGGCAATGTTTTAAAAAACAATTGGAATAAACTGGCATATACTTTAACCATCGATCACGACTCACGCCTTAAGAGTTATAAAATCTGACGTATTGTTTGTTTGTGTATTCTATTATTTATCCCAGTTGAAATTAATTTTACTTAAGCTTGTTTTTTTCTCTTACTTCTCCTTTTTTTCTTTTATCCTATTAACGAAAGAGATATCTTTGAGCGTGCTCATAAACTTTTGTTTAAAACTTATGTTTAAAGCTTGACGAGTTTCCAATATGTGCGGTGTCATTACAATCGCCTTAGTAACACGAGTGATATATGAAGTTTTCATTAAACGTTTTTCCTGAAAGATGAAATGAAACTTTTGAAATTGATTAAACTCACAAACTTTCATAGTCAAACATTGTTTGAACATTGATTGAATAAATTATAAAAAAAATAAATAATATGCAGATTTTATTTCCATTTACGTTCGGAGATATGAGAAAAGCGTAAAGAACTTATTTCCTGACAGGGATCCCTGACCACACACGTTATTTTTATGAAATTGGTTTATTTTATCCCTACATAACGTCCGAGATTATTCAGTATGGTTTAATAATATTCGTCGGATGACATTTTTGCGGTGACATGGCCTAATCCCCCGAGCATACGAATTAACTTGTGGCCATATTTGTGGCGCCTTTATGATGATTCAGCGTCGGTTAGCATCTAGTTTTTCCTTAACCGAACTAACATCAAGCGTCAATAAGCACATTTTTTCGGGAATTAGTCATCACCCCGATATTGCGTTACGAATAGATTACATATACATTTAGCAACCGTTATATTTTACACGTATGATAGGTAACTTTTTTATGAAGCTTTTTACGACCTGATAATCATTAATAAGTGTCTTAAATAAATTCTGGTTAATAGGCAGTAAATTAGTCATTTTATCTATACTAGTAAGCCCCCCCCCCCACTAGATTGTGTGATTTTCCGTGCAAATATACGGAAAATCAGGTGCCTACGGAACGTGCTTCGTCGCAGACTGTAAGTGAGGCCTATGTTCAGCAGTGGAATTGAACAGGCTGAACCTGTAGTTTATTTACTATTTAAGAATGGATTTTTTATTTTATTTAACATTAAAATAGGTTTACTAATTTAAAGTTCAATAAAATAAAACTTAACTCGGAACATAGTTATTAGCTTAGCCTTAAGTCAGAACTAGTCATTAATTAGAGTTCCATTCAAATAATCGTTATCTTTATTGACTCGTGGTAAGGAAGCGTATGCACGTATGATTCACGTATGAAACTTTTTTCAATTGGTCTAGTTCATGTGATTGTTGACGATCGTAAAACTGTAACTATCGCGTGCTTATTGGTATCAGTCACGTCCGCACGATCAGTTCAAAGGACATCCGTCTATAAGGTCTGCGACACACTAATTTTTTTTGGCATCCATTTTTAAAGTTACTTAATAAGTCTTGACAAAAAACATGATGAAGTTGCACAAAGCGACTAGCTGTTTAAAGCTTTATATTATCGTATAAAAAACCTAGTTGATTCTTTGGTTTTGGTCGCGTTTCAAATCAATTTAATTTTTCAATTTAAAAAATCAATTTCTTCACGTCCCACTGCTGGGCAAAGGCCTCGTCCACCACGCGGCCCCACTGCGGATTGGCGGACTTCTCATATCTTCGAAAAAAATTTTTTTGTCATTATTTCGAAAATAATCCTTCACCACGGAGCACGGGGACCTAAACTGACAATTAATTTTACCTTTCGTTAATTGACAACTCTGGAAGTAAACGCTTTTCAAATATCTTATCGGCATTCATATAACCATGTTTAGGCTCAATTAAATAAAGGTCTCTAAGAACCTTAATTTACCCGAATACTACACAATTTACTAGAACTACTTTAAGTTCAATTTTCTTTAATGTAATTTCTGTTAAAACGGTTTCCGAGTACAGCAGATAAAATTATGCAAACTATATGTTTGTGCACAAGTGTTTTCTAAGCTGTCATTTTCTAAGCACACTTAGGTATCCCGAAATACCTCAACTTAACGCCTGCATAAAGTTTATACTTAGTTATTTGAATCAGGTGCTTACATCCAGTTGTTCATTCAGTTCTGTTAACTCAGTAACCGTAACCTCGATGGCAAAGAAGCCTGGTCGACAACCGCAGTCAGTACTAGGTCTTATGAAATATAAACTGCACGTTGTTTATGTCCTCGTGATTAAACAATACGAATTTGTATCGTATACGCGTTCAGCGAACGCACAAGGATCTGGGTTTGTCCAGCGCGGGGTTCTTTTGCGGTTTCCTTGTTGCGTCATAACTCTATCATTCCTGATTAGCAACTTGCACCACTTCCGTTTGGTGCAGTATATGGATAACCTCCGTAGGTTAGTCATCCACGGGTGACTAGTCCACGAAGTTTCTGCGCCTCTGTGACTGCGGAGGATGAGGGAACATGATTCCTAAAGCAATCACTGTGTTCGGTATGGAACAGATTGATGGATAACTATCCTAGCAATAAGTAAAGCCAATATGGTACGTGATAGCAGCAGGCAATAAAGTTAATTCACAAAGACAGAAAGAAAATGAGGCAAAGGAAATTCTGATGCAATTAGAGACACTCAAAGAAGACTAATATAATAAAATAATGTGTTAAAATAAAATGATGTGGAATAATGGCTTAATAAAAGTCAGCAACCAACAAGCAAGTAGAATGAAAGAAGTATTGTCCAGATCGCGAAACGTGCCGTAAGTTATGGTAATTATATGACGTTACTGTTGTTGGTTGGTGGGCAAAACTATTGGCATTCAATTGAAATGAATGGGTATCGTTGGATGACGCAATAACGATTTAAAATATGCCAAAATATGCAAGCATAGGGCCATACCATAGAATAGTCCGCCGATCCAAAAGTGCAGCAGACTACTTAAATCTTAAAAGATTTCAAATGAACTTATTTACTCGTCACTTGATCAAGTTATTGCATACGGGGAGGATGAATAATTATTGTGCTTACTCAGAAATAGCAGGTTAATTGTTGACAGTGACTAGTACTGCCTCTCATCGAGTTAATTGAATACAAACCTTCTCGTAGAGTGCAGCGATTGCCAAAATGCCTTTTATTAATTAATGCTGTCTCAACCAGAATTACATGTTAAAGTTTAAAAAAAAAAGAGAAGAAATGTTTGTCACCACCCGTATTGAACCCACGTGTTCCGGATTTTCGCCCGGGGTTTTATGAGTTAGCTTTCATGAGAAAGCATTTATTAATCGTCCGAACATTACAAAAACAGATTGTTCACCGACTTTGCAAAATATCCCTTAACCTCTCATTACAAAATGTCCGACCCTCACGTATTTCCATTACAAGATATTATCGTGAACAATCGCTGTTAATTCTTATTTTTTAAACGTATCATTTTCGTGATATCACGTCCGTGCAATTCGAGGGCATAGGTCAACGCCCCATATAGTCCGTAGGCCTTTTGATGTTTATCTTCAATCTTTTTGTCAGGGTTGGGCCATTCCATTCAAGCATTTCGCTATTCACACGTAGGCTATTCAAGCTTTTGTTAATAATCTCTTCATTGGCCTCTTATGTCACTTGGCAAATGGCCGATTTGGACACGTGTTATAATTGTGCGTGATAGTGATATAGGTACTTATCATTTTCTTGTGCATTTACTATGTATATGTTTTCGACGAAATTGGGAAATGTTTAGTCAGTGACAGAATTATGGAAGATTCTCGTTGCCATGTTCTATAATTTTGCACGTGTATTTTTATTCCAATCCCCTCAGTGTTTTAATAAGACGATAATATCAATAAATGCCTCAGAGCGGTTTCACTGACCTGTTTTTAATGGATTTTTTGTTTCAAATCAAATCAAAATCAATATTTTATTTATTCAAATAGACGCTTGCGCGTTCTTATGAATCGTCAAATTTTACATAAATAAATTATATGTATGTATACAGGTTCGTAAGCTACCATCGGTTCGGAACGCAGTTTCTGTTGAGAAGAGACCGGCAAGAAACTCAACAGTTGCTCTTTTTCAAAAGTATCGGTTTACATTATAACATACAGTATAATAGTCTCCTATCTTAGTTTCTTGCTTCTACATCCCGATGTCAATAATAGAATATCGTTTACAGTCCGCCAGATCATGTTTTTAACTCAGTCTTTTACAATATAAATTCAGTTCTTCTCTTCTCTTATACGTCACTTAACATAATTTCCATCACGTCAATCTGTTCTAAAAGTGACGCTGCTCTGTCTCCCCGCCACGTACTCACCCCCATTTGGAGGGAACCTCGTATCCCGATGTTTTTTATGCATTAGTAAATATCTTGTCGAACAATCCCGCCCTTGACATCCGACGCATCGCCAACAATGGGATCGACAACAAATTATCTCATTATGCCAGACAACGGCCTCGGAAAATATGATGCGGCGAACAAAAAAAAGACACGGGCTGCAGCGCTGACCAACAAGAATTGGATCAATGACTGCGTGGGTGGTCCATTCTCAGAAACACCCTTTTGTTAATGGGCCTATTGGGACAATAAGGCGCCGTTTATTAGGGGGGTTGAGCGGCGATTTAGGGTTAGCGGGTGAATAGACCGCGCTGATTTACTCAACAGTCGTGATCTCGATGTTATCGATGGCCATTCAGTGTTTTGTTACGAACGCGCTGGGCCCGCCGTTTGTTAGCTTTTTTCGCCTACGACGTCCCCGTAAGTCTTCCGATTCGGCCGGGGATGTTTCGATGTCTGAGGGGAGCGGGGCAGCGTGTTTCATTTGTTAATGTTTGAATTTGGAACGATTACGCGGTGACGTCACTCGTTTGTGTTTGCTTAGACAGATGACGACTGTCGGAGCTGAGTGTTGAAGTTTAACGGCAGATGCTATTGGAGGGAATTAATAGCATTTCAATTGAATCAGTAACCGAGAAGAATCACTGTTTATATATTGCTTTGGATTTAGATTAAAATACGCGTAAGAGTTATGCTATACGTTATGTATTATGTTGATTCATTCCTTTATTGAAATCAATATGTATCTTTAGAATTCGCCATATTTGTACTCATCCATTGAATCTTATACCACTCAATTAACTCTCAGAAACATATATCCCCCATAAAGCTGAGAAAGACTGAAAAAACATGTAAGATAACTACAACACTAAGATTTTGCGATTTTTAGTATCGGGAATGGAACCTATCTTACGTGACCCACTCCGATCTCGCCATAAGGGTGCACGTCAACCCGCGCCTATCTTCGCTAGATGTGGCGAAAAGGGCGGAGCAGTGCGGCCGCGAAACGTCGACTGCGCGCATAAACATAAAGCCGATGTGTGCATCCACGATGATCGTAAATTAAATTAGCACGGTTCGTTAACCTCTGGCCGCGAAAGGCCTCTGCCGCCACGGCGCCGCGGATAGGGTTTCCGCGGCGACTAAAAAAACGGGTGACAGGCGACGCCCTTGTGGGACCCAGTACAATGGAACGCGTGTCCTTCTTTTGTTATGTACACAAGCTATCACGTCTTTTAACGCTAGCTTCACTTACAGACATGGTTGATTTCAACCAATTATTAGTGAATTTATTCAGTTCTAAATATTATACGTGTGAGACTGCTAACGTAGATAATGATATGTAACCCACAATTTATTCAATAAACAGGTGTTGCCTTCAAAGTTTATAATAATGAATGTATGACAGTTTGTCTAATTTACAAATTTTTTTATATATGGTTATTTTAATACATTTCATACATGGTTTAAGAAATAATAATCGCTCTTGACTAGGAAAGTTTAATTTCGACGAATCATTCGGCTCAAAGCTCTGGGATTGGAATTTAAAAAAATATCGTAGAAACTTCCAATGCCGTGTAGGGCAGCGCCAGAAGTATACGACAATTTTTACTAGTCATCAATGAAATATATCCATAAATAACAATTCAATGTAAAAACCATTTGAAATGCCAGATGCTCCTATTGCTAATTCCCCCTACACCAATTACCCTTTTACGATCCACTCGATATCGGTAATAAAGCTCATTTATCCCCTCCATAACCGCCCCCTACAACCCCTCCCGTCAAACTCACTTACAAAGGCGCCTAACTAATTTAATATACGATTCGCACACAATTAAATACCGAACGACAGGAAAGGAAATGTCAAGGGGACAGTCCCTTCGGCTTGGCAATTTGATTGACGCTTATCGAGGAATAAAACTGACACTTATATTAATGATAATTTGGTTGTTGATATTGTTCAGTTCGATAACCAATAAGTTTTAATTTTAATAATTTATTATAGTCAATAAATCTAATATTAAAAGTCAACCATTTTGAAATTCATAATTGATCGGTGGCAGGGCCAAGGAACAGTCTTCGCTGTTGCATGAATGGGCAGGTCGGTCGGGTTTAATACCACGACCTCACAGAAGACCGGCGTGTATGGAAAGTGAACGTCTGCGTTTCGTCTGATGAGCGAGGTAGCCGGGGGATGGCAAAATATCTGCAACCTTACGGGTATTAAAAATGTCCATGAGCGGCGGTTGTCACTTACTTTCAGGTCTACGGTCAGCTTCATTGCTATCTTCTCACATAAAAAAATAATTATAGTAACTTGGAGTGTAATTTTAAAGTATTTCTAGTATTGACATAATATTTTCGTATTATTAAAATTAACCGCTCGACCATTTCTAGAATTTGTAGGCTAAACTCATCGGAATTGGCAATGACATTATGATTAAACACGCAACGTGCACCGGTTCTATACATGATTTATGCTTGTGTACCATAAATAGCCTAAGAGGACAGCAAATCTAGCCGTAGTACGGATCCGACCATTTTAACGCCGAGGATAACGTAATTAACGACCTAAGCGACATCTGCCGCTTATTGACCAGCTACCGAAGACCGCCAGAATCGTGTTTCGAACTTGGAGACGGGCCAACAGACGCGTCTGTCTGCACCACTCCGTACACACGTCCAGTCGCGGAAGGAAACTCGCCTCCTACGGTATTTAGGGCCACTGGATACTGTTTATATTTTATACGGCGTCGTAAGGTTTTTGGGTCTATTGAAATTGTCAATGGAGAATACCTGTCTTCATTTGATCTAACTAAATATGTATAGATACATTGTCGAAAGATTTCTCGCCCAGACGGTCTAATTACTAAACTAAGATTTCGTAACATTCTTACGCTGCTTGATATATTCAATACTCAGTAATCGTTGTCTTTCGGAGGCCTAAAAGTGGCAAAAATGAACGCGAGAAAATGCACTAGCAAATTCGACGTTTATCATATAAGCTCAAGCCACTTACGATTTAAGAAAACTGAAAACTATACATGCGGGGAATGCATTCATCACTAAAAATACGAAGTAATGAGTCTATTTCTAGACATAAACCTGTCGTCTTTCTGTTATTCGTCTGGCTGTTATAGCAGTAACGGCTCAGATTTTCGAGTCAAAATGCAGATGAGCAATTCACATGCGTAATAGCTGGTAATTTTTTCGTCAAATTCAAGCAAAATGCAATTCAAATAAACATTGACTAATTTTCATTGATTTATTCTGTGCAATATAGACAAATCACTAACAAAGTCTGAAGAACATGGTATAATTGATATGATATAATTATAAAGATTCGTGCTTCTATTTGATCGGTATATTGCATCGCTCATGCGGTAAATATATGGTGGGCGAAATTTACTCGGTGGTAGGACCACGCAACAGTCTTCGCTGTTGCACGAATGGGCATCCGGGAAAGTACCACGACCCCCCAGAAGAAGAGCTTGAAGCCAAAGTGTTATACTTCCGCGTTTCGTCTCGCGAGTGAGGTAACCGGTGCCCAATATATTATAAGCTGGCAACGCATCTGCAGTCCTACGGGTGTTGCAAATGTCAATGCACTGTGGTTATCACTTAACATCAAGTGAGCCGCCAGCTCCCTTGCCACCTTCTCTATGTTTTTATATATATAGTTTTAAAAAGATAGGTACAACAAATTATCATATTAAAACTGCTCCTTCATAGTAATTGTATTTAGGTATACCTCAGGGAGTTCGCCGGGGCCCTTATTCTATGTCAAAGCTATCAGTCGCCTAAATCTTAATAGATTGGCGGCGGCTGGCCTTTCTAACATGCGCAACTAAACGTCACTCGTCGTTCACTGTCCCCGTTTCCTTATTTGTTTCATTTCTATTTCGTCTTTACTTCTTGCATATATATATATATATATATATATATATATATGTATATATATATACATTATCCTGTGTTGTGAGGACGTTGTACAAACATATATTTCACGCACACAATCATTCAGATGCGAAACAACTATATGTGGGTCACGCAAATAGTCCCGTGTGGGAATCGAACCCACGACCCCTGACGCCGAAGCCAATACTTTGGCAACTGCGCCACGGAGTCATCATAAGAAATATTCATGCTTTTGCTTCGAATTTTAAATTAGTTATTGTCATTTAAAATAGTTTTCACTTATATACTAAGAACGAAAATGTAACAAACATTAATTCAATTACTTTGAGCTTTTCCACCGTTACTTCATGCGTTACCAACCAAGAATGCGCCCCGGTTGCCGAAACACGAAACTATCATACTTCGATATCTCGCCGGTCTTCTGTGAGACCACGGTAATTCCCCGGATGAGCCAAATCTTGCAACATCAGAAGCTAATGCGTGTCTCTACCACGTATGCGATCTCTCGTTGGCAAAAACGCAAATGAGAACGCTAACTTACTAAAGTCTTATAATCTAATACAAAAAATTCTCGTGTCACGGTGTTTGTAATTGAACTCCTCCGAAACGGCTCGACCGATTTTCGTGAAATTTTGTGTGCATTTCGGCCAGCGTGGAGAATCGGACATCTATTTTTCATCCCCCTAAATGTTAAGGATGGTCCAACCCAAATATTTTTTTCTACCTTACAAATTCCTTAGAAATAATTTGTACGGCAAGACAACGTTTGCCGGGTCAGCTTGTAATCCTATAAAAAATGATCGGTTAATCATTTTGACAAACTTAGCGTCTTTTTAGTTTATTTGATTAAGTGCTGCGTAGGAGACTGGCCCTAGCAATACATGCAAGGGCGACACAATTTTAATTCACAAAGAAAACGGACCGTCATCAAAAACCCCAAGTTTCTTCCCATTGCTAACGACGCCGCTAAGCCGCTATCGCAAATGGCACAACGTCAGCCACAGGGGAGCAGCCCCCCACGGAATGTCACCGACAAAACCCAACTTAATCCATGGCTTAAGGAATTTTTCAATCAAGCTCATGCATGCGACTTCATAATTTGTTTCACAGTTGGACCGCATGAGAACCCTGGCGATAAGGATCTGTCCGTCGCAAATGGGACCCTATACCGTTACATTTAAGATTATTAATCGACAGGAGAGGACGCGGGAGGTGGAAAAAAAAGTCTGAACGGCGCTCACAATGGGCCGCGATCATTGAAACAAATCTGTTAGGGGAGCTTTGTTGAGGGTAAACATATCCTTAACAGGATCACCGGCCCGTTCGTACCACTTGACTTCGCGCGTCTGAGCATTTCCCCTGAGAGTACAAGTGGGGTTCGATAATTTAAAAGGTGAAGATTGATCGTCCGAAATTACATTGATGCACAAGTCAAATATTAATTTCTTATGTGCTATTCCCAAAATAAAATTTTAATTTAACTCTTGTTTTTGGTGCTAATCTCTGCACTTAAGATCATACTTAAAATATGTAGGTAAATTGTCCAAAAAGTTGTGCCGCTGCCTGTGTTGTTGTGTTGCGATGTCCTGTGCTGTTGTGTTGTGTTGATTCAAACCGGCGCCTTCCATGTAACGCGGCGAGGCGCTCTTACCTATAACCTAAGCGAAATTCTTCTTAAATATTCTGATTTTTACGAGGAAGTTATAGAAACGTTTAAACCTACAGAATTAGATGCAGAAAATTAATTTTTTGAAGTTATACTTCTTTTGGTGCGTTTGGAAAAATTATCAAATATATTATTTATATATATATTATATATATTTTTATATAATAGTAAAATTTTTACGAAACGCGCGCACACCGATTTTCAAAAAGCTTCATGATGCTTCGTAAATTTAAGCTTGGAAACCAATTTATGACGTTTACAAATTATTACAAGTTATTTGAATCAACCGTTATCAATTGTTTTTGCCTTTAATGTTTTTACCTTTAAGAAGTATAACTTCTTACTTGAGTACATAAGTCCACACATACTATTTTCCTGTTGCACCTTAAAAAGTATTCCTTGAATTTTCATCACCGAATACGGCAATGAAGATTGGAGAATACGTCTACTACTGATCCTAAGTCGACGTATAACAA